GTGTAACAACTCACCTGCCGAATCAACTAGCCCTGAAAATGGATGGCGCTTGAGCGAGAGACCTATACCCAGCCGTTGCTGGCTTGTGCGTTGTCTAGCGCCTGGCCGCAACGAGTAGGAGGGTCGTGGCGGTTGCGTCGAAGGCTTTGGGCGTAGGCCCAGCTGGAGCTTCCGTCAGTGCAGATCTCGGTGGTAGTAGCAAATATTTAAGTTCGATCCTTGAAGACTGAAGTGGAGAAGGGTTCCACGTGAACAGTAGTTGAATGTGGGTCAGTCGATCCTAAGATACTGGCTTATGCCTTGTATCATCGAGAGGGAAAAGTCTCTTTTCTCTCGGATATCAAAAGGGAATAGGGTTAATATTCCCTAACGCAGACACAGAGATTGTGGCTCGTTGAGTCACTTGCGCGGTAACGCATTCGAACTTGGTTACGTCGCTCAGAGACCGAGCTAGAGTTCTCTTCTCTAGTTAAGGAACGGACTCCCTGGAATCGGTTCAGCCGTAGATAGGGACGTTGTTTCCGTAAAGCATCGCGGTTTCTGTGATGTCTCGTGTTCTCTGGACGGCCCTTGAAAAACCAAGGAAGGCTATTAATCTGTGCTGCATCGTACCGATATCCGCATCAGGTCTCCAAGGTGAACAGCCTCTAGTCGATAGAATAATGTAGGTAAGGGAAGTCGGCAAATTAGATCCGTAACTTCGGGAAAAGGATTGGCTCCAGTGACCGGGTCGGTTGGCCTGTTAACTGATGCTTGTGCGGTTTCGTCCGTGGCTGGCTGATGCTCACGCTGATGCTGGACTAGTGACAAGACTGCCTTGTGGACGTTTTCAGGTGTGTGCTTTGTTTTCGGACTTAGTATCCTGACCGACCATCAAAACGGTCGAACTGGAACTGGTACGGACTCGGGGAATCCGACTGTCTAATTAAAACAGAGGAGACAGATGGTCCTTGCGGACGTTTACTGTCTCTGATTTCTGCCCAGTGCTCTGAATGTTAAATCGTAGTAATTCGAGTAAGCGCGGGTAAACGGCGGGAGTAACTATGACTCTCTTAAGGTAGCCAAATGCCTCGTCAGCTAACTACTGACGCGCATGGAAGACTAATCGTCGCGACTGCCGCTAGTACTAGTTTGTGAAACTTACTAGTAGCAAGTGTCTTCCGGGCAACGTACTCTTTCCTAGCAATCGTCGGTTCTCGACAGAGGTACGGCTAACAGCGTCGAGCGCTCATAGCGAGTTAAAGTGGCGAGCGAGAAAAGTAGCCACATTATGAGCGCACATTTGAACGGCTACCCCTCTGATTCCCAAGACCCTGGTGACGGGCACGACGCCCTACGGGCGAGGAAGAGGAGGAACCTGTGGGCCGCTTGCGACCTGCAGAAACTCCGAGATTTCGTCGATATTTATCGGCGGAATTCTAAGATCAGCTGGACTTCCCTTGCCGCGGCATGGGAACGTTCGCGGAGGCCAGATGAAGTGCATCGTAGTGCAGCTAGCCTGCGGTCTGCGTATGCCAAACATCTGAAGGGGCAGCAAAGCGTGGGGGCTAATGTACCACGTGGAGCCGCTCATCAAGAGGTACTCCAGGAGCGGGATATCCCAATCCAGGAGGACTCTACCCCGGATGTTGGTCAACCGGAATCTCCGGAGACTATTGAAGCTGAACGAGTGGAGCCGAACCTCAGGGACCTGCTAACCCAGAGGTTCAAAGTCTACTACAAATACGCCATCAGTTCCCATGATAGGCGCCCGGTCAGAAGGCCCTTGGGTACAATCCCACAGGCCCTTCTGGAGACAGGTAATGAAATCATTGCTCGCACGCTTAGCGAGTACCGGCAGGTCTCAAACGGGAGAAGGTGGATCTCGATCTTGAATGCTGCAGTGTATGCAATAGCTCGCGCTATTGCTGCTGTAGCGGACAAGCTAAGACAAGAGCGATTCACCGATGACCCCAAACGCCGCCTTAAGGAACTGGAGGATCAACGAAGAACGCAGATCAGTACGATTTCAGTGCTGACGAATGAGATCCTCAGGCGTAGAAAACTGCGGAAGCGAAAGGAGGAGCCTGTCCCAGGCGCGAGTACGAAGTACCTCCAAGTAGCCGAAGCATATGGATTGAAACGTCGCGGAGAGTTGGGGCGTGTCTTGAGGAAACTCAAGGACCAACTCAATGTGACCCAGCTCGAGATACGGAAACTGCAAGAGGCACAACAACGAAGGTTGTTACGACGAAAAGGTGCCTCGTTTGTGGTTCGCAGAGACTCCGGCAGTCCGACTGAGGTGCCTGTCGCTAGTATTCGTGAATACTGGCTACCTATTGTCGGCGTTCAGAAGTCATTCGAAGTAAGCCCCGAGCTGAAAGAATGGTCGGAGACGTTAGGATCCCTACCTAGAGAAACTCCTCTTATGTCTGGCGAGCTGGATGAGGAGACCTGGAGGAACTTGTTCCGAAAGGTTAAACCTTGGAAGGCTACTGGGCCAGACGGCATTCAGGGTTTTTGGTGGAAACACCTTCCTGAAGCTAGGCTGCAGCTGACTAACTGGTGCAAACGCGCCATGCGGCGGCCTCGAGACTCAATCCCAACCTGGCTTTGCCAGGGAAGGGTTGTTCTCATACCCAAGAGGAAAGGAGACCCTAACACACTAGAGCCTGCAGATTTCCGCCCCATCGCTTGCCTGAACACTTGTTATAAGTTGTTAACAGGCATGATGGCTGTGCATATATCTGCCGCCGTAGGAGACCGGTTCCCCGGTAGTCAAGTTGCCCTGCGGAAAGGCTTATGGGGCTGTACTCACGCCCAGATACTCGATCAAACGATCATAAAGGACTCCGAGCGATCCAAACGAGAGCTCCACATGCTGTGGGTTGATATGACAAAGGCGTTTGACTCCCTGCGACATGGTGCCATTTTATGGGCTGTGAAGCAGTGGGGCGTACCGTCAGATGTCCGGCGTTTATTATCTACCCTTATGAAGTTCCAGTCTGTCCGATATTGCGGTTACTCGAACGGGAAACCAGTCAAGAGCCAAAGTCTGAAGGTCAGAAATGGCCTGATGCAAGGCGACAGTCTGAGCCCGTTGCTATTCTGTCTAACCATTGCACCAATATCGGCATGGATCGATAAGCACATCAAACCGTACCAGTCGAAGACCGGTTCAGGGCCTCGTTCTGAGGGACCCCTGAACGGGGGACATGTGTTCTACATGGACGATCTTAAGGTCTTCACTCCAGACTGGGACAACCTGATGAAAGCTCGAAAAGGTATCCAGCTAGTAGCTGGTCAACTCGGACTGCAACTTAACAACAGCAAATGTGCGATTCGCTCTATGAATTCTAAGGATATGGGGCGTAATGTATCAAGTGGGACCATCCCAATCCTCGGAGGCAAGCAAGTCTATAAGTATCTGGGCGCGGAAGAAGCCGAGCTAGTTTGCTTCGACCAACTATGGTCAAGGGTTGCAGAAACGGCGATGGCCACTGCAAGGAGGTTGTTCCTCAGTAACCTGACGGTTCGCCAGATGGTAAACGGGTACAACCAAATTGTAGTACCAAAGCTAAAGTATGCATTCTCTTGTATCATATTCGGAGTCGGCCGATTCCAAACAATGAGTACACAAGCCCGTAAATTCGATCTTGAAATACGCAGACTGTTGAACGAGTCTCATATGAGGTTCGGACACAGCTGTGTTGCACGGCTATACGTTGAACGACAACATGGGGGGCTAGGACTGAAGTGTGTAGAGGAAGAGTTGCAAACAAGTGTGGCTTACACTTGGAGCTATCTTTCTTCAAACACGGATCTCCTAGTTTCATACGAGCTGGCTGAAAGGTTGCGTGCGAGTACAAAGAGATCACTGACCTCTGACTTCCAGGCTGTAATGGCTGCTAACGGGTTGGAGGGACGTGTATCGCGAACGAGAATCGCAACCATTGTAGTAGACTCCCAGACGTTCTATAACGCCACTGAAGCTGCACGTGCTATATCTAAGCTGATTCACGAGAGGTGGATGAAAATTCATCTCAGTGAGTGGAAAAGCAAAGATGTAGCTGGAAGAATATTGCAGGAACGCACTGAAGATGGTGTCCCGACTGGGCTATGCCTGAAGGATTCGTTCCTTTGGTCCGCGAATGGTTGGGTCTCATCTGAAGTATTGAGGAACGTCTGGGGCGCACAAGAGGCCTCACTCTTAACCGGATGTAGCGCCGCTATGCGAGCGCTGAGACCCACAACAGGGGGTCTCTGTAGAATGCACTGCGGACCCTACAACGAAACAGCTGAGCATATAGTATCTGCTTGTGCTCACTGGCGAACAAATATCATGGTCGAAAGACATGACGACGTTGCTAGGGTCATCTACCACTCAATTAGAAAGAAGTATGGAATCACCGCTGTTGTGAATACCCATCGTCCACATACTGTGGAGGCCGGAGATGTGGTGATTCACTGGAACGATAGGATCGTTACGAGTGAGAACTTGAAACATGACCGTCCTGACATTCTTGTCTGGGACAAACGAAATAAAGCGATCTGGATCATTGAGATTTCGGTCTCATGGTACAGCCGTCTCCTCACTCAAGAACAGCGGAAGCTCGGAAAGTATGCAGTGAACAGTACTCTTCCCGAAGACACTGGGCCGGATGGGTTCCATCCTGGTCCCAGTCTAAAATCTGTCCTGCAAAAGGACCGCAAATGTAGGGTTGAGGTTGTTCCGATCGTCGTAGGGGCCTGCGGTGAAGTAACACCGAACCTAAGACGACACATACTTGCCTTGCGACTACGAGATGATCCTGACGAGATAATTGAGAGGTTAGAACGCAGTGCAGTGTTAGGCACGAATCGATTGATTAAATGTCACCTAGCCAACACGCTAGAGTGAGGTCAGCTTCAATAGTAGGAACCAGAGGGTCATAGTAGGGGAACAGGGAGCACTGGTGCTGAAGTGCTGTCCAGGCGATGAATAGTCTGGTTCGGCGAGTGCTCACACCCCTATGAGGGACCCGCTACGTTTATAGTACAACTTGAGGAAGCAGCATTAGCCGTCGTGATGAAAAATACAAAAAAANAAAAAAATAATAAAATGAAAACCACAAAAAAAGTATAAAATGAAATAACCCAAAAAAAGTCGTAAGTATCGCGCTGCTACTCGCGATAGTAATATCGCGCTGCTATTCGCGATTGTAAATAATGTACATAATAATATAGAAGTTCGTGTTGTGTATGTACATATATAATGTATTGACAGGTATATGTTGAATATACTTGTTATATTGCCGTGACAAGGTAAAACTTGCTCACGGATTGTATATAATATTAATATTAATATTAAATAATATCCGCCCTAGTCGACCTGGGGTTATAATTATACTTTTGTGTTTTCATTATTATTTTATTCCACACGTGTTCTACGTGTTGGAGATTATAAATGTGTACTAAGTACACGAAAAATTCCACGACGTGCTGCTAACCCTCAACCCGGTGTAAGACGTGGTAGCCCGATGCTAATTCCTGCTCATAGTGCTTATGGATAAGAGTAAGGTAGTAGATGGGGAGCTCACGCTCCTGGGGCGGTAGGATTCTATGCACTATGAGAGCGAATAGGATGCGGCATCGCCTGGGAAAGTGAACATAGATGAGTACCAGGTCAGCGGCACTATACGCATAAAGGTTGGTAGATCCATGACCCCAGACGGTGAGTCTGTGGAGAAGATCGAAGACCACCGGGTAAAAGCCTGGCTTGACAGCCAAAAGGTGGACCAGTGATGGGGCGAGTTTCTTTGGAACAACCCGTTTCCGAGGTTTCGAAGTTCACCATCGCAAGTCACCACAGGAGTTTCGATAGGCTCTCCTGGAGTTGGCTCCCGGGGGGAGCTGACCCTTCGTCAGTGTAGGGCACTACGCTGCGACCGTGAGGTGTAGAAATACATCTCCAGGTTACCCGCCTGCGAGGGTACTCCTATGACTCGCGAACGGGATCTTCCCGCGGCGAAGAGGAGGCGTGTCAAATAGCACTGGTTCCTTAGTGACTCGGCGCTAGGAACATTCTCGAAGTTGGAACTAATCCACCCAACAAGAGACAGTGCGAGTGGGAGGGCTTAGTGGTCCTTTGTAAAAGGAATCCTGACGCGCATGAATGGATTAACGAGATTCCCACTGTCCCTAACTA